TAAATATACTTAATATTCACTGTTTCTTAATGTTAATAATACTATAAACACTAGAAAAATGAATGTTTTAAACTTGACAAACTCTACATGATATTTGTATTATAATTTAATAATTTATCTGAGAGCTTTAAGAGACTTTGAAAATTCTAAGGCCACTTAATGTCTACAGAATTAGATGAAATCCCACTACAATGTTTTAGCAATGTTTACTGAAAATTTTAATTTTTAGGACCAGAAATGTCCATGCAATAAACTAAAATTTTGTTTCAATAAAATCGAATGTTAAATCAATAGCAATAACTTCCATATTTTATTTTTCGTTTTTTTTATTCCCTAAAACTCTGAAAACACTTTTTGTAGCTAATTTCTAGAGGTTTCTTTTTTTAAAAGACTCACAATGAAATATGTTTTAGAGAATAATTGAGGAGATGCAGATCCAGTTGCTTAAGCAGTATGGCAATCCTTATCTTAATCTCACTTTCAGGATCATCATCTTTGGCAATTTTATCAAGAATTTCTAATATTGATGAGTCGTCTTTCATTACATTATAATCCAAGCCCAGGATTTTTGCTATGGGATTTCTGTTAGCTGACCAAAAAAAGTAAACAAAAATTACCTACTTGTCTCATATTACAAGAAACATACAGATGAACAAATCCTTTGAAGCCCAGTCAAATGGGTTTCTTCAAGTTTTCTCTGATCAACTCAGAGAGTTAATCTCTACTTCTCAGATACACTGTACTTAGGAACTTTCTTTTACTTTTTGAGAAGTTCTACCTTGTATTGTAATATCATCTATATATGTCATCTCCCTAACAGGACAAATGCCAAGACATTTTTTTAGGTGACCATGAGACACTATTCAGAATAGGCATTCAATTAATATATTCAATATTAAATCGAAGATAGAGAAATACCAGTCTTAGAAAAAGCATTACTAGAACTGTGTGTGTGTGTGTGTGTGTGTGTGTGTACCAGTGCTCAGTATTTACAGTGCTTTCTTTCCAAAACAGCTTGCTTCCCTTAGCCTACAGATCTCCTGCCAGTCTTTTCCACCTGTTCAAACTGCATATATTTTCAATGCCTTTTGATGTTAGAGGTAGAAAAACAAATCTAGCCAGTGTTTACACACATACCAAAATTATAGTGAAAAACTCATGAGAAAGGCTGACGGAGATGTGAGAGTTGTACCCAGAGATGCTGAAAACAGACTTTGGTAAAGGTTAAACTACATATATGATTTAAAATGAGGGAGAAAAGGGCGGAACCATGTTTAGAAAGAAAGAATTCAAGTCAGGTGAAATACGTAGCCATTCGGACGGGGAGGAGAAAAATGCCTATGGGACTAATTCAGAAAGCTTGACCTGATTGAAATGAAGTACAGAAATGCCATTCACTCTTCAACAGGAAACGGGCTAGGCCACCAGAAAACAGAAAAGGCACAGGGCTGAAGAAAGACTGCATGAGGGTAGGTGTAAGGAAAGGAGATCCAGAAATCAACTATTATTGAGCATCTCAACTTATCAACCTTATGGCTGTTATCTATAAAGACTTAAAAAAGCTGATACTATGTGAATTCTAGGGAAAAAAAATGACTCCCAAATTACCAGGTACCCTGCAATTTGCACCTAAAACTAAGAGTTGTACCTAGAACCCTTACAGAAAGGGCAAAATGCAGCAAAGGATACGCATCTAGCCAAACCAGATATACAGCAGTCTATGTATTAAGTTTACATACTGAGTTTAATGAACAATCATGCCCCTATTAACTATATTCTTGAATTCAGCTTTACTCTCAAGATTTAATTCCTCCTTATGGAAGTAGCTTTGGTGTACAGAAGAGCCTAATGAGGAAAGGCAGGCAAGAAATAAAAGGAGATTGCTGCCCTAAGGGATGCATCTTAATTTATTTTTTTTTAAAGGGGAAAGACCATTTTCTCACCTCACAGCCATGGACAGTGGCAAAGAATCTGAGAGGCAGGACTCAGGTACCTATGCCTGGGACCCACTGATCAGATGGTTTCAAGGAAGCAAAACACATACACAACATCTTTAGGTATTTCTCATAAGAAATATTTAGAGCACAATGATAACAGGCAATTGATCACATTCTTCTTTGGAGAGTAGATGATTAGATAATAATGAACACATTATATATCCCTAAAGAAAAGGAAAAATATTGCCCATTGACTGACTGTAACTATCACAGAAGGTTGTGTAGTCCACAATGGAATAAGTTTGAGGCAAATGGAAAGTGATGTTATTATGTGCTAAAGGAAGAGCCCACATTCATTTTAAAGGAAATAGGTCATCATCCATCACAACGGTCTGTGAGGGGAGAATGTGGATTCCGGTCCTGGACATCTGTCTTCTCTTCTGACGTAGACCTTAAAGGCTACAGGCCTCGGGTTGTTCCAGAAGCTAGGAAAGATCTCTTCAAAATGCATGCTAAAATTAGAAATCTAGAAGCTTACTAGTGGTAAAGTATTAGGCCTTTTATTTTAAAGTAGAAATTTGATATTAGCACAACATTTCAGCCAAGGAAAATTAATGACATTTTTATGAAGCTGAACATATGACTTTTTACCTTTTAGGTTATAGAATGTTTTTCAAGATACTGTAACAAATGATTTTGCCCCAGGATTATGTTTCTAAAAGTTCAAATAACAGACTGGAGTGTAAATATCACCTTCAAGACATGCTTGTGTTTCCTTCAGCTTTGTATCTCTGGCAATATATAACAAGTGTGACAGCTGCCCAAAGCTCCTAATTTTAATTTGTGGTACAGAGAGAAATAGCAAAGGCTGTCCATTTTTATCAACTTCTTCTGATTTGACTGTTGTTGCACTAAAAATGAAAAAAAAAAATCGAAAGCTTCAGGTTACCTGAATGCCAGTAGAAGCTAAATTTAAATTATTTTGGCAAATTATTCCCATATCTCATTATAAAATAGAGAATATAAATACCTATTGCTAAAAGCTTATTTTCTTTTTTCCACCTTCCTCTACACTCAGACTCTTAAAATCCCCAAACTTATTAGCAATCATAGTGAGCAATATAAAATATATCCAGAAAGAAAATTATGTGAATACCTACATGAACTGTTTTTGTTTTTCCAAGAATGCACTGGACAGCTTTAAAAAATCACTGATTCCACAAAACCATTCGTGTTTTGAGGACTTCTAATGTTATTTTATTTATAAAATTTTTACACCAAGCAATTAGTGGTTAGAAATTTTCTTGGCTCCTCTGTGTTTGGGAACAAAAAAACTATGAAAAAAAAAGGCACACTAGATCCTCTCTGCAGATTATTTTCCCACTCCAAACCCCTTAATTTGGTTTCCTTTAAGATCAGAAATGATTGGGTCTCTCAGATCTGTGTTTCCCTCCATTTTAATGATTTTTTTTTAATTGTTGAAATTAAAAAAATATTAAGATGTTTTTACGGCAGTGATATTTCTATAGATTTCTACCCCCTTACAACATTAATTAAATCGCTTAGGCTTTTCATTACATACTAATTTCCCTGCAAAATGGCCCACATCTTAAGACCTGATCTAACATATTTGAAATTGTAATGCAGATAGATGTGAAATGTTGATAGTTCATCAGAAAAAGTAAATCTGATACGGACTATCTACTACCAATCCGATATCACTAGAAACAAAAGGGCAGAAACTATGGGAGGCTCCACGTCCTAATCCCTAAAACATGTGATGATGGCACCAGACATAGGAAAAGGGACTCTGAAAATGGATCAAGTTAAGGATCTTGACACAGGGAGACTACTCTGGAATATGTAGGTGGGCCCAATGTAATTGAAAGAGTCTTTGGAAGAGGCAGGCAGAGAGTCAAGTCAGAGAAGGCAAAAGTGACCATGGAAACAGAGGTCAGAGTGATGCAGAGCCATGAGCCAAAGAATGCAGGCGACTCTAGAAGCTGGAAAAGGCAAGAATGAATTTTCCTCCAGCCCCCAGAAGGAACACAGCCCTACCGACACCCATTTTAGCCTTGCAGGCTCATTTTAGATTTTTCACCTCCAGAACTGTAAGATAGTAGAGCTGCGTTGTTTTAACCCGTTAAGTATGTGGTAATTTGTTACAGCAGCAATCTGAAGCTAAGACAGGGACTTTTATTAGTCTTGCCCACTGTTCTGTTCCCACTATTTCACATAGTAACTGCACAGAGGGTGGTCAATAAATTCGAGGAATGAATGAATGAATAAAATGTTTTTAGACTTGCCAGTGATGTATATTCTGTACAAAATGGATATTTTCTCTAAAATAAAGCATTTGGAGAAATGTCCTTAGGATTGAAGAGATCTCTTAAAGGCCTGTATCAGGGTTGGGTACTCATGCCAAGTGGATGGTGAGAGAACTAAATTACAGGCTGAATGAAAGCCAACAATAGCAAGCTACTTAACTTAGGAAAATGAAACTCCTGGTGAGAAACAGAACTGTAGGGCACAGGTGACATTTATCAGTGCTCCTACAGGTTTCAGTTGAAACCTGTAACTTAACAGAGCCAGCCAGCTACAGGGAGGATGTGGAAGAGCAGGTTTGAATTTCTGGGTTCGCAGTTTCCCGTGTCTGAAAAAAAAGCGCTCTTTAAAAGAAAAACACTGCACCCACCACGTGAAGCTCAAGAACAATGTGCTGTGAATGAAGTCCCCCAATCTAAACCAAGAAACTTCTACACTGAATTGGGGAAGGGAGCTGAAAATACGAAACGGGAAAAATGTACTATTTATTTAATCCCCAGTGTCTGTCTGCTTTAGTGTCCAGAACATAGTAATTACTCAATAATTCCATATCTAAATAGTAACATAGGAAATAAGGCTAGAATTGAAAAACTATTTAGTAATTCCTCAGGGATGAAAAACAGAGCCCAATAACAAAAGTTATGGCCACTGATCCTAACACGATGACTTAGAAATTTTACCAAAATACAATACTTTAAGGCTAGAGATCATGTAATTCAGCCCTTCATAATACTGATCAGAAAACTATGAACCAGAAAGGTATGAATTATGAGTAAAGTGTGCACTGCAGTTAGGAAGAGGGCCATGGCTCAGGCATCCTGATTTCTCATCCATACAGAAAATTTACCAGGATATAACTTTGCCCTAACTCATACATATCACTGAGACACAGCAGAGCAAGATTCACAACTAAAATACTAATACTAAAGGAAATATGATTCAAAAATCATAGTTCTATCAGAGAAAAAGAGAAAAGAACAGGTAATAACATTTTTACAAAGTGATTCTAAAAGTTTATCCAATTTATAAATTTCCCAAGCCAGGTTCTAGAGAATCAAAGCGTCTCAGCTCCGTGTCCCACCTACAGAAGGTGTGACCATTGAGTTGTCCATCCTTAGTTTACGGTGGATTTGGGCTTCATTCTGAGGCATTTTAGGAAGATTATTAATCTCATCCTGTTTGACAAGAACAAAAGTAATTGAAAATGGTAATAAAGAGACCGGTTTTCCATTAAAATGAAAGTAGAGCTATCCCCCTCAAATTGAACATGGAGAGAGAATGACAAATGTTATTACAGATCAACAGCTGTACACTGGGAATGACTCTAAAGGAACAAAAGGAAATATGCAATATATAAAAAGTGCTGTGCCTATGTATTCAGTTAAAGCAACTACACAAAAGGAAAGATCACTGATGAAATGTAAAAGCTTTTCAGTTTGTAACTAAAGGATCAGTTTCAATGTCAGATACTGATAAGCCTAATTCAGAAGTAGGCTAATTAGACTTTTACTGACCACTACACAAAATACCTTTGGAGATGCACAATATCAAATGAGAAGGGAGGCCACAAGTATAAATATATGCCCTAAAATATCGGCAGAGATCAACAAAAGGGGAAGCTTATCCACTTACTAACTTTCAGTGTAGATTAAACTGACTTGGTTTTGCTATGAGAGGCCTGACAGAATCTTTAGAAATAATAATCTGTTTTTACTCTAAAATATACAAAGATATTCCTTTTTGGTAGAAATACAGAGACTGTAAATTCAAATCTTTCATGATGACTTTGGCCATCCACGTGCACCTACAGACCTGAATCCTGTCTGGAAAGAGGCAGCTTCCCGCTCTAACTAAATGCATAAATGGTGCACTCTGGGCCAGCAGCTAAGAAAAAGAGTGCATGTGAACCAAAGAATAAGGTCGTTGGGGCTGTTTAAATAATATATTCTTCTGCCCATTGAGGCATCTCTGGTTTACATCACTTGTTATGTTGCTAGACGTGGTAAAGTCCAAGTGGCTATGAGTTGCTGACAGTTTTCTGGTTGGTGGGGAGAACAAGGAATGTGATGAAGACCTGCATGTAAAAGCATTTGGTATTTTCCATTATTACTAAAATCTCAGCTATATTCTTTGCTTCTTTGGGGCAATCAGTACCTATCTGGTTTTCATCGGGCCACATATACATGGTTTGCTCCAAATACAACAAGCACTATCAGACCCTTCTTCATCCTTTCCAACATCAAAGATATCATCAATAAAAGTCACAAACAAGAATGATGGATAGAAAACTTGGCCCAAGGATAAGCTGCATAGTACATTTGACAGAGGAATACAGGGTAGTTGGTTCAAAGCATACATGGTGTCAAAACGTCAAAACATCCTACTTAAGAGGGAACACTGTACATGAAGACTGTATGCAGATGTAAGAATGGAAATAAAGCAAAAAAAAAAAAAAAAAAGAAATTGGATAAGGATGCAGAAGGAGAAACAGTAATACATTTGAGGTGTGTGTGACAGTCCACCTAACTAGGCCCCAGACGTGGTCATGTTTGTACCTGGAAAACAAAATTAATACAGAGGCAAGATACAATGACCATCTTGATATGCGTCTAACATCTGCTTTAAATCTATCTTTGTACTAAGTTTATATGCAAAACCAAAGAAAAGAAGATCAGAATGCCAGAAGTGGAGAATAAACCGAGGCTGACGAAAACAAGAGATTTTTGAATTTGTGTGTATTTATCATATGTAATTATGCAATTTATATAAACACATAGTTTTTAGGTATGTTCAAAGGAGAAATTAACAGCTCATTGTTTGAAGTGGAAGTAGGATTTTTTTTAAATCTCAGATTTGGAAAGTTCTCATTTGAGGGCAATGTTAATTGCTAGGCAATCTCTTCCTTATATTGAGCAAAATTTACCAGTCTCCCTCTGCCACCCCAGAAATTGGTAGATTTAGATATCAGAAGATATGTCTACCTCAGAGGCCACAAAAGCAATGCCTACTGGCTTCCGGCAGACAATGTGGATGAGGTCAAAGGCCAGACATCAAACAACAGCTAATGTTGGGAGTGTGGTGAGTTGGAGAATGCATTCCCTATCAAAAGAAATTCAAATTCAATTGAAAATTAGTGCGCTAACCAAACAAAATACCCTCAGATTTCACCTACGTGCCTCCAGTTCGTCATCCCTGGGTCAGAAGATTCCTGAGATTTATAGATGTTAAATTACCTGTCCCAAACTCATAACCAATCAATAAAAATGTGTACGATAAAGATAAGCAATTCTAGAAGCAATTAACTGGCTTACCTGACGACATAACCTGATTTGAATGCTGAGGGGTCCAAATTTGTCTTCCATTCAAGTGGTTCTACAAAAACATATTTTGCCTCTTGGGGATGTTTATAGATAAAACACTCCACAAACATAATAATCTCTTTTACTATCGCTTCATTTAACGGAGTAACCGCCAGGGTTCCAGCTCCATATCTGGCCGCAGTCCACTGCGCTGATCTGGTCAGCGCCACGCCCATGGGATCCGAGAACGCTCCGATCTGAGCTTAGCACACGCGCTACAGCAGAGGAGAGTCAGAAAGAGACGACAGCATCCACGTTTGCACTGGAACGTTTTTCAATAGCTTAAGCTAATAAATATTACCTGACCCGCATTCTACTTATTCGATTTTTTAAATTGTCTTCGATTTAATAAAACAGTTAATTTTCACTGAACCAGCTTTAAATAAAACAACTAGTATCGAAGGATTTTCCAATCTCTGCCTGGAAATGAATAACTGCTTTCTCATTTCCCCAGGGCCTAAGAGAGAACGTTTAGAAAACAGAAAGAGAAAACGCCAAGAGTGGAAAAAAACATTGGCCTTTGATTCGTACCTCTGCTGGGGCTGGAGGTTAAGTGAGCTGGGCCACACATTGTTTAGAACTGTTATTACATTGAACTGTTACCCTGACTTTCTTACAGTCATCATATCTGCATCAGTGCAATGATGACTGAGGGCATGATTCTGGGAGCTCTGAAAGTTCCCCAAGTGCCTTCTGTATTAATAAGAAATAGAATAAGAACGTTACTGTGAAATACAATTTTAGTTTTTTCTGAAAATTGGTATAGTATGTATTGTTCCTTTTCACTAGAGTATGGGAACAATCTAAATACTATCCTCTCTGCCCATGTGTCCTACCCAGAAAATTTTATTGTCATTCGTAACCTTCTTAAGATCAAATGTGAAAGAACAAACGAGAGTCTTTTTAGGCTGTTTATCTAAATTGGTTACCAAAACGGTCTAGCTTTAAAATTTAAAGACATTCAAATGAAATAAATTTTGCTTTCGCTAAATAGAAATTAATCTTTAAAAGAGTTTTAAAAGGATAGTATTATCTGTAACTTTAATAAGAACCAAGTTAGAAAACAAGTTCTGACATTCATAATGGATATTTATGGCTTTTTTCCAGATAATCTGTAATTGCTTGTTTCCTCATTTATAACACGGATCATTAAAATCTTTCTTCCAGGATATTAGAATGGTTATAAAGTTAAATATTGACTATAATTAGCTTCATTCTCTCATCATTATTACAAAAGCACAGAAATAGCAAGACTCTACAGAAATGACTTGGGCATTTTACTTTCTGTACTGTATTGTCTTGAAATCCAGTAACAGGGACATCTACATCAGAGGTTCACAGTGGGGCAGTACTGCCTGCTGAGAAGCAGAAGTGCCATACAGGCGGTTCATCATCAAAAGGATAGGAAGGGGGCATTATTGGCATTTAGTGATAAGGATCAACAATGCCAGAGCTCCTGCAACATGAAGGACAGCACCCCAGACAAAAGAATTCTGCGGCAATCGCCAGGCATCTAGAAAGTAAAACACTTCAGATAAGTAAACCCTGCTCCTAGAACCTAGCTCCACTGCACAAATAATCACAGGTTTTTTTTCACAGTTTTAATACGCACTGGATTTTCCAGGATTGCAACTATCATATAAATCAAAGAAAGGTTATACATACTTGTTTTATATGGAACCTTACCAAGAGCTAAGCATTTTGGAAAACCACGCCATTGATGGCAATATTATTCACATAACTTAAGTTTCAACGACATGTCTGTATCCGTTTGCACTTGGAGCTACTGCATGGAGAGTAATTCTATGTAAAGCTGGAGCATCTGACTACTTCATTATATATTCAGTGTAGTAGTACCTAACTATTGAAATACTGATCTTTTATTACAATTATTTTCCTTTTAATTTTCCTTTATTTTACAGTTAGGGAGCCACTGATACTTAAAACTATGCACACATGTAGAATTATTACCTAAGATTTTGATTTCAGAATAGGGAAGCAAACATTACAATATATGTGCTATCGAAACCCGAGTGGATCACATAGGATTGAGAACTGATATATGTATATATGTACATATTTATGTATATGTACATATAAAAGGGCTAGTAAAATAAAATGTGTACAATTACGGTATAAATTTGTTCTGTGCATTTAATGTGCAATTCTATAGTGAGATGTCAAACACAGAAGCATGAACTGATGTGTATGTGTGACACTCTTGAGTTTCCTGGTATTATGAAAATAAGTGCAAACTAAGAATAAGTTCAAATGGCTTTTTATCTTATACAGGGAGGCTTAGGTGGACAGTTCTGTTTGTTTTTAATCTTAAGCATAACACTTGTTTTGGTGATCTTATAAATCTATAGCATGGGCATCATTTTCCTTCTTGTACCTTTTTAAAGTAAGATATGAAATTACATAGATTGCGTAAGACTGTGGCAGTCAACACACCACATAGCAACTACCTGGAACACTTTAAAAAGAACTAAGATGTGCAAAAAATTCTTTTTATCATGATACATTTTTAAAGAAATGTAAGTGAAACGTATTTGAATCTCTTCAAATTGTTTTCCTGGATCTAGTAAACCAGGAGCTTCAGCAACAGACAGATTTGATTTGAGAAGAATGGTTAGCAAAAGGCCTAAGAAAATGTCAGGGAGGGGGTGCCTATGTCCATCCCAAAGAAGAGACCATGTATAAGAAGACTTAGAAAGAGAAAGAGATACTTAGAAAGCCTAACTGAATGAAGTATAAAAACAGGGTAATCTGGTGTTATTTTCATCTTAAATATGAGAAATTTCAATGGTTTCTTAATTTACCAAGAGAACTGAAGCTACAGCACTTATTCAATTAATTCTAAGGTGTTCAAAAATGGTCAGTCATTATAATTCAGGAAAAAATACAAAAATTAACACTTTTTATCAAGGCAGCTCAGTTTCTACACACTGCCAATCCTTGAGTTCTTTTGGCCTAAGCACCATGGTTACAATAAATACATATGAATACGTAGTGCATATCTTTGAATTACAGTGAGTTTTTAAAAAGTTTAACTAGTAAAAGGAAAAAAGTTTCTGGGCGTGTATTTCCATAAACTGAGAATCACTTTGTACTCATTTTCTCTAATAGAGATAATAGGAATTTGTTTTTCTGAGGGTAAGTGCAAGCTTCCAGTTATCATTAATTAAATAAAATCCACTTATGAATAATTTCTGTAACACCTAAGCAGAAGCAAATCGAATGCTTTATGAGGCTAGGGAATGTAAGCAACCACTCTGAGAACTAGAAATGTGGCTGGTAACATGGACTGGGAGTCAGTGCATACGCCGGCATTCTGAGAATGACGAAGCTATTCAGTGAGACTTACAGAAAAATCAAAATTTCAGAACTGACATGAAGCCCGTCGGAGTTCGAAGATAATCATCCGAGGGTGCGGGGTACGGGGTACAGGCGGGAGGGAGCAGACAGCGAAGATAGTACAGAGAGAAGGAGGCAAAGTTGCAAAGGCCGAGGAGAAAGGCGAAGAGGGCGAGAGCAGGGAGGCGCCGGGAAAGTAGAGAGAGAGGGTCAGGGAGGAGATACGGTCCGGGCAGGGTGGGGAAGGGGGCGCAGGGGCGAAGGAGCAGGAGGGCCCCAGGTCCCAGCAGGCGCCAGGTATCTGTAGGGAAGCCCCGGGTGGGAGAAAGAAGGGGAGGAGACAGCGCTCGGGCCCGAGGACAGAACGGGAAGACGATGAGAGGGACAGAAGCGAGACCCGTGAGCTGCCCCCTTTTCTCGAACAACGCGACGGCTGCAAAGAGCCGGGCGCAGGCCGAAGGGCGGGCCCGCGGGAGCA